GCTGGCATAAAAATCAAAGGAGATCGCGTAAGCCTCAAACAGCTCTGGCATCTTCACAAGGCTAGTATAAGAACCAAGGAAAGCCACGTAAACTGCAGATGGCCATACAGATGGGGAGCCTGGAGAGAGCATTTCTGTTATATTGGTGGGTTTGTTTCTGTTTTGGGTCTTTTTTGTTATTTTGTCTTTTTTTCAGAGCTGAGGACCAAACCCAGGGCCCTATGCTTCCTAGGTAAGAGCTCTACCACTGAGCTAATTTCCCAACCCCAGGAGAGAACATTTCTGAATGTCTGCCATCCCACACGAGATTCAGTATGGTACTCAATAAGTGATCGAATGGCTTGTCACCACAGAAAACCCCACTCCTCTTTGTTCCGTTCCACAACTCTATGTTTGTAAAATGTGACAGTTACCATATTTTCAGTAACACTGACAGACGAGGTACATTGAGGAGCACCCAATGCTGCATGAAATAGGACTTAGGCCCTGAGCAAGAGATCTGGCAGACATCCAGAGTGTGGAGGAAGGATTGCAGTTTAATATCTGAGACCACACCAAACAGAAGATGTGCTTGCAAAAAGGGTTGGGAGGAGTGCCTATGGTATCTGGGGATCAGACATAGGCATCACTGTTTTGGAAATCTCTTTGCTGGATGCAGTTGCCTAGGAGATGTTATGTGGTGGGCGTAAAGAGCACAGGACAGGGTGGTAGCATGGAATGCTACAACTGCCTTCTCTGTTGTGTGTAGGGGTGGGGTGGGAGGGCGTGTGTGCTTCTGAGCACACACGTGTATGTAGAAACCAGAGATCACATGGTCACATCAAGTGGCTTCCTCCCCCCACCTCTCTCTCTCTCTCTCTCTCTCTCTCTCTCTCTCTCTCTCTCTCTCTCTCTCTCTCTCTCTCTCTCTCTCTCTCTCTCTCTCTCTCTCTCTCTCTCTCTCTCTCTCTCTCTCTCTCTCTCTCTCTCTCTCTCTCTCTCTCTCTCTCTCTCTCTCTCTCTCTCTCTCTCTCTCTCGGAACCTAGGACTCACCGATTTGCCCAGGCTGACTGGCCAGCAAGTCTGGAATTCCTCCCATCTCCACTTCCCCAGTACTGGGATCTTAAGCGCATCCCACCACCTTGGTTTATATGACTAAAAACGGTCTGTAACTCCAGTTCCAGAAGATCCAATGCTGTCTTCTGGTCTCTGCAGTCAAGGTACTCATATGGTACACAGGCATATGTGCAGAAAAAAAACCACCCATACAACAATAAATCTTTTTTAAAAGATTTTTTTTAATATTTAAGGATGTGAACTTTTTTATTTCTACACAAATCCCTTTGGGATTTTGCTAACAGTTGCTATGAGTCATAGATCCGGTTGTGTTAAACTCCCAATCCATGAACATGGAACATCTTCTTATCCACTTGTTGTTTTGGGATATGGGGGTGATGCTTGGTGATTTTCAGTCTTTTAACTTAATGTCCTTTTGGATTGTTCATATTAGTGTACGCAAGTGTAATTGACTTTCACATATTGATTTTGTGTTTGCAAATTGACTGGATTTGCCTTCTAGTTCTCTTTTTCAGAGCTTTACAGTTTTTTTGTTTGTTTGTTTCTCAAGGCAGGGTTTCTCTGTATTGTTTTGGAGGCTGTCCTGGAACTCGCTTGAGAGGCCAGGCTGGCCTTGAACTCACAAAGATCCGCCTGCCTCTGCCTCCCGAGTGCACCACCGAAGCCCTGCAGCTTTACAGATTTTGCCATAAGGATTTAGGACCTGTTTTGTGATTCCCCTCATCCCACTCAGCTGCTTCCCTTTCCCCTTCTGTGTTCACGTTGCTCATCTTTCATTTCTTTTTTCTCTTCCTTAAGATTGCCTTCTTCCTTTTCATGATCAGAATGGGAGTTTTTCTAGTTTGATTATTGTGTATTTTTCCCTCACAAGATCTGCTTATGTAGCCTAGGTTGACCTTGAAACAGAGTCCATCTTTCTGCTGTAGTCTCCCGGGCACTAGGATCACAAGCTTGCAACACCATACTCGCTTTTCTGTGACTTTTAAGTTTTAGACTGTAATCTGGGTTGGGGGTTGGGTACTGTTCCAGATTCTTTACCTCGAACAGACTTATTAGCCAAATCCTTTTTTTTTATTTCTTATGAAGGAAGGAAGAACCCTTCCTGGAAGCCTCTCCAAGTCAGCTTTGTCCACACAAGAAAGAGGCCCAGCCACACAACCAGCTCCCAGACACTGAAAACTCCCCAAGTCTTTGCATCTGATTTAAAAGCTTTGGAGCATCCACTCAACCCAAGGTGTCTTCTCCCAGCCAAGAATAGGAAATAAACAATTTTCTATGACCTATAACCCCCATTTGTTTTAATTTTTGTTGTTTTGAAACAGGGATATCATGTAGCCCAAGATGACCTCAAACTGGCTATGTACCTGGAGACGGCCTTGAACTTCTGGTCTTCCTGTTTCCACTTCCCAAGTCCTGGAATCACATGTGTTCAGTGGGCCAGGTTTATGAGTGATGGGGATTGAACCTAAGGCTTCATGAACGCTAGGCAAAACACTCCACCAAGTGAGCTCCACCCCCAACCCCATCTTCTCTTTCATAGTGTCTTAGTTAGGGTTACTATTGCTTCCTATAATGAAACACCACGACCAAAAGCAAATAGGGGAAGAAAGGCGTTATTTGGCTTATACTTCCATGTTGTAGACCATCACTGAAGGAAGGAACTCAAACAGATCAGGAACTGAAGATAGGAGCTGATGCAGAGGACCTGGAGGGATGCTGCTTACTGGTTTCTCTGCCTGCTTTCCTACAAGAGCCAGGACCACCATCCCATGGATGACCTCTCCCTACCCCACCCCCACACACACAGTGGCTGGACTCTCCCACATCAATCACTATCAATCACTAATTAAGAAAATGCTCTACAGGCTTGCCACAGTCCAATCTTATGGAGGCATTTTCTCAGCTAGGGTTCCCAACTAGCCAGCACACACATACAATATTCTAAACAGATTTAGATTGGCAACAGAATCTCTGGAATTTGCCTTTAGAATGAGGTTGGCACTCATCTACTCAAATACATTGTCCCATCAGGACTTGTCTGTTTGAGGAAACCAGTGAATTCCCTTATCAGTAGAAATGATATTAGGGGACCTGAGCAAGAAGGAAAGGAACCTAACAAGACACATTCACAGTTATTCCTAACAGTCACAGAATCCCATTTCGTGCCATTACAGCATCTTTATCACCTTATGTTTTGGTTATGGAAACCTCTTTCTGGGATAACTCGTGGATATGGTTTGGACCAGGGTGACTCAAGGGAAGACTCCCGTTCCACTGGTCTCCATCCTCATCTAGGATTTGCCTTCTCTGCTGAAGCTAACAAGAAAGATGGACTCCTCCATGTTGCTAAGTTGGGGTGCTTTTAGTTGGTGCTGCCAGCAGATATTTTTTGCTTTCATATGGAGAGCATCTGGTGAAGAGTGACACAGGCAAACCAAGAGACAGATAGTCCTGGGACAGCAGGAGCACACCGTGTCTCATCCTCTGGGCATGATCCAAGCTTGGGATTCTCAGGGAGCTGTAGCTATCCGACTGCATTCGAGCCAGCAGCAGTCATGCACTCCCTGGTTCTCCATCATCTCCCCCTTCCCTTCTCCCCTTGGAGAGGGTCCAACAGAAGCCTCTGGGGCCCTGACAGACAACACAGGCTTGCAGCCTAAAATCACAGCACGGAAGGCCACCCACTGAAGACGCTCACTGAGAAGAACTGCACTGCTGTCACGGTGTGTGCTGAGGTCTGGGAGTTTGAAACAGCACTTAGCCTACCTGAGCAACAGAGAAGTGCCTTCTTCCAGACTGCAAAGCCATCTGACTCTAGGGCTATGACTTCCTGAGGAAACCCTTTCGCTGAAGCTGGTTTGGATGGGTTTTTGTTTCTTCCAACAAGGAATATCCTCATTAACACAATAGGAAGTATGAAAACAGCAAAAATGATCAGTATTGCCTTCAGGGAAACTGTCTTAGTTAGGGTTTCTATTGTTGTGAAAAGATACCATGACCATGGCAACTTTTCTTTTTTTTTTTTTGTTTTTTGTTTTTTGTTTTTATTTTTTGAGACAGGGTTTCTCTGTATTGTTTTGGAGCCTGGCCTCAAACTCACAGAGATCTGCCTGCCTTTGCCTCCCGAGTGTTGGGATTAAAGGCGTGTGCCACCAACGCCCGGCTTGACCATGGCAACTCTTAAGAAGGAAAACATTTCACTGGAGCTGGTTTGACAGTTCAGAGGTTTAGTCATTACCATCATGGCAGGGAGCATGGCGGCATGCAGGCAGACATGGTGCTGGAGAAGGAGCTGAGAGTTCTACATCTGGATCTGCAGGCAGCAAGAGACTGTGAGCAACACTGGTCATAGCTTAAATTTATGAGACCTCAAAGCTTGCCTCCATAATTACACACTTCCTCCAACAAGGCCACACCTCACCAACAAGGCCACACCTCCTAGTAGTGCCACTCCCTGTGACCAAGCATTCAGACACATGAGTCTATGGGGTCCACTCCTATTCAAATGACAGAAACTGAGGTACAAATTCATTTTCCTTTCCATGAGAAGCCAGGATTGAGTACTTGAGATCAGTAAACCAGATAACCATTTTCCCTACAACTCAGATAATCATTTTAAATCACAATTATACTGATAACTGTTGAAATAATGTTGTTTCTCTCCTCTACCATTAATAGTTAATATTCATTTCATAATTTATCAGTAAGAAAGGAAAGGTGATTTGTTGTAATATGGAAGACAAACCTCAGTGCTGTGGGTTTTTCCACTTCAGATCAGAGAGTTAGAGCCAAAAAGGCACATAGAGGCAGGCCGTGTAGATCAGCCCTTCATTCCCCAGATGGGAAGTAGTAGCACAGAAGGGAGAAATCCCTTGGCTAAGTTTGCACAGTAAGAAGAGGCAAAACCGGAAATAGAACTTGTGTTATTTATTTATCGGTTTGCAGTGCTGGGGATCAAACCCAGGGCCCCATGCATGCTAGGCAAGTTCTCTCTCAATGAGCTACGTGGACACTCCAAACTCAAACATCCTAAGACAGGAAGAGGACAAAATCACAAGAAAGTCTCTTGAAAATGACTATCACTTGTGATGGCTGAGGTTGTCAACTTGATACACCTAGGAAGAGGGCCCCTTTAAGAGAGGAACTGCTGCCATCAGACTGGCTTGTGGGCATGTCTGTGAGGTGTTTTCTTGATTGCTAACTGGTGCGGAAGGGCCTAGCCCACTATGAAAGATACTGGTCCTGTATTAGGCTGTATAAGTCAGCTGAACGAAAGCCTGGGAGCAAGGCAGGAAACAGCAGTCCTCCGTGGTTTGCTTCAAGCTCCTGCCTCGAGTCCCTGCACTGGCTTTCCTCCACAATGGCCTGTAACTTTTAACATGAAATATACCCTCTCTTTTCCAAGTTGTTTTTGGTCATAGACAACAGCAACCAAATCCAAAGTAGCACAGGTCTAAAACAGCAGCTACATTTCCCACCAAAATCGTGGTTGGTTGATACATTAAACTGTCTCCATGACCTCCATGGATGTGGGAACTGCATAAATACGGTAAGCATCTCAAGGAAGCTAGGGAAGGAGGGCTACATACAAGACAGCTCTCAAAGGAGCCAGCAATGCGGCTGCCATTCAGTGACAACTTCACAGTTCAGTCAAGAGTCCTTCCAGTGAGAACTAGACCAGAAATTAAAACTAAACCAAGAAACCTTTAAAACAATGCAGACTAACAGACCGAACCCGGCACCTGAGAATGTGATGTGGACAGGTCTTTGCCCCCATTCACACAGGGGTAAGAGAAACCTGTTCAGTGTGAAGGTGTGCTGGCTGCAGTAGCCACCACCCCTTAATGCCAGGCTGGCTTTGTCTGTTCTGGCTGGCTAGGCTCTTCCAGGGTCACTTCCGGTCACTTCCCGTGTACCTCTGCTGTATGCCGACAGAGAAGGCAGCCTTCCCTGATGGCTGAGCTGTTCTCTGATGAAGAGCGCTCTTCTTACGGGGCGGGAGGGATAAGCCCAATAGAATCAGGGACCTCTTAGATTAACATCAGTTCCAGCACACTTGTGACCCTGGGAAATTGCGCCACCGCCAACAGCAACCAAAGTGGATGAGAGGTCACATGAAAAGAGATTCTGTCTCGGGGACTACAAGTTTAAGAAGGGGAATACAAGGATTTTCTTCTAAGATAGAGAGTCCAAAACTTATGGGAATGTGATGTAAGCTGCTGGGAGGAAGCTGCGGGATGTATGAAGTCTGGGTCTTCCTGTGTCTGCTTGCTGGGAGACCACCAGGTTCCATGGGCTACTTTAGAGTCAGCACTGCCTTCTTCCTCTTGGTTTCCTGACTTCAGTTATCATCAACACACCAATATCTAGAACTCATTCTCTGTTCCTAACTCTCACACCTTTAACACTCTTCTACTTTAGGATCCCATAGACTAAAGTGACATTTATTTGTCACCTACTATGTGCCAAATAGTTCCTGGGTCTGCACTTACTATCTTCTCTCTCCAATGGACGGGGATGGTGAGATGGCTAAGCAGGTAAAGGAGCTTGCTGCCAAGCCTGGATGCCTGAGTTCAATTCCCTGGCCCCACGAGGTAAAAAGAAAGAACCGGTTGGAAAGTTGGCTTCTGACCATGCGCCATGGTACTTGACAGCACACATGCACAGCCTTGAGGCCTGTACCAGGGTTTCAGGTACAGCTGAAAAGTACCAAAGGCACTTCCAGGCACCTCCCCTTTGGGGTCTTACTTAACCTTTGTCCTAATCTGACAATAGAAGAATCGTTGCTGGCCACTCAGTTGGCAAGAAAGCAGGTTTGTGTGAGTAATGGGTGCAACCAAGACTTTTAGGTTTCACGAACATTTCAGGAGATTGCAAGGGGGAGAGGCCACCCTGGAATGCTTGCTATTCGTTTTGGCAAATAGAAGCACTGGGAATATCATTTATTATCATTCATAAGAGTGGCTATATCAGAAAGAAAAATGAAAATCAGAAAGAAGCCGTATTCTCTCAATTCAGTCAACGTAGCTTTATGGAAAGTTTCTGTTGTCCTTACTCTTCCTCATTCGGCTGTCAAACAGTTGATGGCTCTGTCACTGGACCGCCGTTCGGCGAGCAGTTGTTTGATTCCCAGATTGGCACGGGGAGCAGTTGTTTGAGTTGCTTGCTCAGGATTCCCAGATTGGCTGGTCAGTAGCTGCAGAGGCCTCTGCTATTTGGATAGAGAGCCAGGCCTTGTCCCTCTTCAGCCATGTTAGCGGGCACCTAGCAGGCAAATTAAATAATGTGAAACACAACAGCTGGGCCTTCACCGTCGCTGGTTAGCTCATTCAGTGCAGTTGCTTTATACTTAAAAACTGAAAGAAGGATACTCTTTAGCCTTTCCAGGGAAAACAAAACAAGACAAAAGTCACAGTATTGCATCTTCTTTGGAGATGAAATAGTAAATCTCCGCAGCTGGCGAGTTGGCCCAGTGATAAAGGCATCTGCTGCCAAGGGTGACAACCTGAGTTTGGGGCCTGGGATTCATGTGATAGGAGAGACCAGCTCCCCCAAGGTGTCCTTTGACCTCTACATACGTGCTGTGGCTCATCCCCACCCCAACAATAAATAAGTAAATACAATGCAAATATGTAATAATAATAACAAATTTCTGGAGAAATGTAATTTTGTTTTAACTCTGGTTTTAAAGATTATTCAACGATTCCAAGGCATTATTAGCAGAATAAATCAGAATGAGTGTAATAAGGCTTGAAGTTTTAGTTTGCAGAGTAAACACAGCAATAATTTTCAAATTGCAGTCTAATGAACTCTTCCAAGTTGTGAGCAACAATAAAAACTAGTCATATTAGTACTTTCTAACACCGAAAGAAACTGATATTGTTTTAAACTACAGCTAAATTTGAAAATGAAACACCATCCACTGTCCCCTGAGGTCCTTAAAGAAGTCAAATAGCATGGCTGGGTAGAACTGGCCTGTGAACTACTCGATGACACTGAAAGGACTGTAATTTAGTATTTGGAGTGACAGGTATATTATGCAATTAATTTTTTGGTAATAAAATACCACTCAGTGGAGAAAGCAAGGCCCAACAGCAACCAAGGTGAAACAGATAAGAAGGGAGAGATAAATCTAGAAAATGGCGATATTACCGAAAATATTTAAAGCTTGTGGTAATTTGAGGTAACTTTATCACCTTTTTTGGTCAAGAAAAAAACAGCAGATTAGGCCATCTGAAAAGTTTTTTTTTTTTTTTTTGGTATTTCAAATAGTTCAAAAAAAAACCCCGCTGATCCTTATCACAATTTAGTCGGGTTTTCTCAGGAACCATAGTGCCCTTTTTTTTATTTCTTTATTTATTACATATATACTTTTCTGCCTACATTCCAGAAGAGGGCACCAGATTGAATTTAGATGGTTGTGAGCCACCATGTGATTGCTGGGAATTGAACTCAGGACCCCTGGAAGAGCAGTCAGTGCTCTTAACCTCTGAGCTATCTCTCCAGCCCCTTAGTGCCCATTTTTAAACAGGAAGTTCAACAGACCCAGTGACTTGGCCTTGTGCCAAGTTACCATGAGTGCATCAAGACAGATAGAAATGTAAGCTCATAACCGTGTAGGGTTGTTGACCATGTTAATTCGTTATATCAAGTGCCAGACAAAGCCATGGGGAGGTAGACGGGCAGGACACAGGGCTGCATTCTTTACAAGGGTAAGACACAGTTTGCTGAAGGAGTTTAGCTTTAGAGTACCAAGAGAGAAGAAATAAGCCTCCTTTTTGTGACTGACTTTATTTTTGGTGCCAAAATGTTTTCTGCTATTTTTTAGTTTACGTATTTACATTTGATTTCTGTTAACAAAGAGAAGCAAGTTTACTCATGTTGTGCATATGAATTCCCCAGCTTGGCCAGAATTAACCAGTGGTCTTGTATGCTGCTAGCAGTCCAAGCACTTTGTAAGGATTTAGGCTGAGTTAACGGTTTCATGACGTGACCCTGTATCAAAATACTAGCTTTAATAATGATTGTGCTAATTTTTCTCCTTGCCTGTCTTGTTTTGCATTCCTACATTCCTGCCCTTAGCCTGTTGGTACTGCTGTAACAAAACACCCAAGGCCAAGTAATTTACAAGTAACAGAGTCCCTTAAGGTTCAGGCTGGAAAAATCTGGAATCCAGGCACCAACAGATTCAACGTGTGGTGAAGGAGAGCTGGCCCTCTGCTTCATGAAGGGCACCTGAATGCTTTGTCCTCTTCCTGCACGAAGATTAAAGCAAAAGGTCTAGTACCAAGTCCTCAGGGTGGCAGGAAGGATGTGTTTCTTAAGTTCCCCTGCCCTTTTAAATCACTTCATTGTCAAAGTTTACAAAGAAAAACATCATGCAGCCAGATTAACAGAACCATGAAAACAAGGGCTCACTCAGACCCAAAGTCTATAGTTCTTAGTGGAATTTCTAAAAGGTGGGATAGCTATTCCCAAGCCATGGGGCTTCGTTGTGGATTTCACACTTAACTATCAATTACATTTTTATGTACTGAAGGAGAACTGGAAAGGGGATTTTAGGCAAGGAGGAGGAAGGACAGAATTCAGGTTAGGAAAGAGGTTAAAAGATCAAATGGTTTTCTGGTTGTAATCTACCATGGAGTTTTCACTGTTCTTGTTTGGGTTTTGTCTGCTTTTGTGGGAATGGAGAAAAGCCCTTCATAAAAGGATGTTAATCCCATTCATGGCTGAGGAATCCTCATGGCTTATTTCCCCTCACCTGGCATGGGAGTGTGGCCTATAACCAGCAGTTGGAAGGATCAGAAGTTCAAAGTCATCTTTACCTCTGAGTTCAAGGCCAGCCTGGTTACATAAGACAAGACCAGAGATAAGGCTCAGCAGATAAGTGCACTGCAAACCAGCCCTGACTACCTAACTTTGATCCCCAGAGCCCCTTTGTAAGAGAGAACTGACTCCTAAAGGTTGTCCTCGACTTCCACATGTATACTGTGACACACACACACACACACACACACACACACACACACACGCAAGTTAAGTTTTTAAATGTTAACTCATTTTACTAGGGGCTGGAGAGATGGCTCAGTGGTTAAGAGTGCTTACAGAGGACCAAGTTCTATTCCATCACCCACGTGGCAGTACTCAGTCATCCCAGTTCCAGAGGATATAACACCTCTGGCCTCCATGGGCACCAGGCACACAGGAGGTGCACATTAATAGATGCAGGCAAACACATGCATAAAATAAAAATCTTTATAAAATCTTTTCTGTGGATAAACTAAATTGAAAACACCAACTAAATACAAAATTTTTAACAATGGTAGTCATTGTAAATTCACTTAATTCTGACATCTCCCTTCATACTTGAACAATTACCTCAGTCAAACATTTTAGTGAAAATCAGTCTATGAATTATGAAATATAAGCAAGTTATATTAAACAAATAGGATTTTGTTGAAATATTCTAATATGTTACAACTTAGCTGTATATCTTTTATGCTATAAATGCAATAAAACTGCATGTATATAAAACCCCCATGTTTCTCTTAATTTCCTATGATACTGGGCAGTATAGGTACTTCATAAAGTTGATATATAAACTAATGAGTTATCAAAAATATAAAAGTTAAATATAAAAAGTATCACCTTGTTGAATTATAATAAGTACATCAGTCTCTAAACAGACTGATTTAAAACAGTATCCATTTAGATTTTAGGCAAAAGGGAAAGTCTAACTTTGACAGTAACCAAACAACAGAAAATAAAAATAATGTCAAGATAACAGCTTTAACTGTCCAATTCCATAGACCAGATAATAATTTTAAATAACAGTTACATTGTTAATTGTTAAAATAATATGTAATAGTCTTTTTTCTCCTCAATCATTAAAATCTTATATAATATTCCAATAATAATTTATCACCAAGACAGGGATTTTTCTAGGTAATGTATCACCAAATCACATTTTGTTTCTAGTGTCATATGCTGGCATCAATCCACATTATAAAATGATACATTGACTAAAAACTTGATAAACTTTGGAATGAAGTTCACTGACATGCTACTAAAAATAGGCCCATTTTAATTTTTTCAACAAATTTCATATGAACATGATGATAGAAGCACATTAGGATAATAGAAATTCACCCTACATTAGTTTTTAATGAATCTTAGGTTTCACAATTCTTTCATATTCCAAAATTTAATTAGTCTCAGAAAATAACTATCATTTCTTGAGCTCTTAACACCAGGAAGACATTCTGCTAAGCATTTGGCATGCTTTTCTTCATGGGACCCTCATAGCCCGCTTCACCCAGTTCATAATGCAATCATCAACAGCCCCATTGTATAGAAATACAAACTGAGGTTCCGAAACTTAAGAAGTGTGTTAGTAAGTGTGGAAGTTAGCAAGAATCAGTCTTGGCCAGGTGATGGTGGTGCAAGCCTTTTAATCCCAGCACTTGGGAAGCAGAGGCAGGCAGATCTCTGTGAGTTGGAGCACAACCTGGTCTACAAAGTGAGTTCCAGAACTGTTACACAGAAGAAACTCAAAGAAGAAGGATGAGGAGGAGGAAGAAGAGGAAGAGGAGGAGGAGGAAGAGGAAGAAGAGGAAGAAGAGGAGGAGGAAGAGGAAGAAGAGGAATCAGTCTTTGAATACTTCAGATCTAATGCCAAAGCCTTCCTGAAACAGCACATGTTCCAGCCATCTAATTTCAGAGAAATGGAGTCCTAAGCACACAGAAGGGGAATACCAACCTTGGGAAAATACCAGGCTGGGTTAGCCATGGTGAGAAAAAGGCACTGCTAATCACTAAAGAGAGAAGGAAATATAAGTCATGCAAAGATTCTCACAGCAATAGTCGCCAAACAGTAAGAATCGTTGTCTTCTTGGAACATCAATGTGTTTGGTAATATTTTAAGGGGATTATACAGAATCATGTTTTCCGAGTTTCCTTAAGAAGATTTTTTCAATTCTAGATTAAAAATTCAAAATTTAAGGATCGGTGTTTGCACTCCTATCCCAATCAGCGGTTTTGCTAGACTCAGTGTGCACTTCTTTTAATCTGATGCTGAAAATCAAGTATTTGCCAGGAAATGAACTGTACTTATTTAAGCATCGCTTGGTCATTTCTCCTGCATGGGAAATTAAGTTATTTTCACCAACCAAGAGAATCTATGACACACGATTATAACAAACAAGAACCACACTTTATAAAACAGCAATAGTATTCATGTGCGGCTGGTACAGCGGAAAGACAGG